TAGGACTAAACGCATTTGTTGTGTTCCAATGCTAAGTGAATAACAAATGTGTCAAAATTAAGTTTGAAAACGTTTTTTTTCTTTTGTGAATCGAAAATATCTTAATAGAAATGTATCTCAACCGCTAGTTATTTAGTTTTGATCACAATAGGCATCATAATTTTTGTAGGTCAAATTACATTTACTTTGGAAAATCTTAGTGATGTCAACATTGTGCACTTAAATGAACACATCGATTTAACTATATTGCCAACGTTTTAGAAAGAGGTGTCCAGTGTAAACCAAACTTATTAGGACAGCAACATATTTCACCATTGACATTAAAACATAATTATTTTATAACATAGATTTACGTAATTCAGATACGTAAACCACTAAAATCTAAATCAATAGTCTATAAACTACGCACTTACTGTGATACTTGAGGGCAATAGGCTTAATAACTAAAACGTTTGTAGATAAACAGCGCTGAAAATCCCTAAATTAGGACAAAACAATTTTCCAATGATCCCTAGGACTTCATGGCTCTCAAAGTGACGTTGTATTGATGTATCTTCGGAATAAAAAGACGTTTTGGAATTGCACAATTTAGGTTAAATAGCTTATGTTTGCATGATTCAAAGTAATCTATTGGAAAGTGAACAATTATTATTTTCGTTATACCATGAATTTGCATATATATATATATCATTTAAAATACATGTAAACTGACGAAATAACTTAGGAGTAATCAATTCCATCTACCCCCATAAGCATCATAAATTATGTCCTTAACAGTTAACTTTCTTTTCGTACATAAACAATAGTTTGTACGATATTTAAAGTATCCTTAAACAGTCATGTAATCTTTAAATTGATATCATGAATGGATGAATGTTAGACCACCATTGAAAACCTGGAAGCGCTGGACGGTCGTTTCGTCCTACCATAGGACTCCTCAGTAATGCTCGTCCACGATCCCACACAAAAGAGATTCGAACCTAGGACTCTCAGCTTCGCACTCAAACGCTTAACCCCCAAGTCTACTGAGCCGGCATCCGACTGTGTTAATGTCTAACCCCAACCAATCCACGATATTGCGCGATCGTTCACCATTGTCTTCAGTGAGTAACTGCCTGCAAACAGAAAGGTTGAACTCCATCGATCATGGCTTCTCGCTAGAACTCCAGTAAATTCATCTTGAAGTCATTCACTAGTAAGCACATAATAATTTTCAGTTATATAATTACCTAGCTAAGCAATGTATCTCTTGGAAAATTGTATCCTTAAATTTTAGTTTAATTCCGGTTTAAACAAAGATAAAAAACTTTTTAAGAAGTACTAATTACCAGATAACGTTGATACTAACTGCCAATTCTTACACTGCCTATATAGTCACTCGTTGTTGAAGACATTTTATATATTTACGTCAAACGACCGTTTACCACTTTAATCATTTCACTTATCAGAATAATAAAATGGTAAATATGTTAAATAACAGTTCTAATAATAACAATTGATTGAAAGTAAATTAATAATTAATGAAGACTAAAATAATAATTTCAATACAGAATAATTTCACATGTCAAATCACTGATAATTAGGATATTTTGGATACTGGTGTTGTTTAGCTAGATACAACATTAGGCTTCAAATTACATTATATGCTACTAATTTAAAAATTCAAATTGCCGGACTTATAAATTTTGGTCAATGATCATTATTACAAAATTGTTAATTGGTTTCACAAGCAAAGATGGATAGTGGCTAGCAGTGAAATCCAGGATGTGCGTTTCGTCCCATTTGAGACTCGTCAGCTGGATGTACTTGGATCTCAGAGTTGATGTTCATTCCGGGACTCGAACTCAGTACAATTCGCTTCAAACGCTATCGCGTTATTCACTCAGCTACTGAGTCAGGATAGCCACTGGCTTGTGCAATGGGGTGAAGTATAATTCACTTGGTATTGTTTTACTTGAATATGTTTACTTTTCAAGAATGATTGTATATTTACATAAGATGATTTATGGCCGATATTCCACTCCTAATTGTATTTTATTTTATTACGTCAGCATATAAGACACTTAATCTAATACTTCAAAATCGGTCTGTTAATGGAACCTTAATATTATTACTTTTTTATTTTATGTAAAATACAAACATAATAGTTACTAGCATCCGGCTAAAATATAATAAATCCAATGGAATAATTAATTTTCAATATAATCAATTGATTGTACATAAGAAGATTAATCACGGCTATATCCTAGTTTCTAGATTAATCAATATGATACCTGATTAAATTGGTTAAACCTCATATCTTATTGGAACTTTGAGAGTACTATAATGGTAAATATTGTATGAAAAATAATTTCTAGAATTATTTTTAACCGTATATGTTAACCGTATATGCAATTGGTAAATTTAATTATGGTGAATAAAATAGTTGAAGTTAGACATTAACACCGTTGGATACCGGCTCAGTGGTCTAATTGTTAAGCACTCGCGCGCAAGACCTATAGGTCCTGTGTTGGAATCTTGCGAGGAGGGCTTGTGGATGCGCACTGCTGAGGCGCCCCATACTAGGACAAGACGACCATCCAGTGCTTCCAGGTTTTCCATGGTGTTCTAGCTTCAATCGACTCATGATTTCAACCATTAAAATTACCATATTATCCACAAAACCCCTTATAATAAAATAATTACAGTGAATATTTTTTAAATGAATTTATTATGATTTGGAATTAAGATAATAAATCTCAGGATAGGTAATCTGGATTCAATAATTTTTTTTTCAACAGATTATACAGTCTAATATTTGAACGAGGAATATTCTTTTCGAAAAATTCTCATCAGTTACTACAGTTATATATCCAAACTAATAATCCGATAGATGGCTAGGTTAAGGGTAAAGTGCATCGTTTAGAGTAGTAGCATGTGAATTTATGCTTGTCAAACACGACAATAAAATTGTTAATGTTGATATGACTCAGATAGACTGTTAACGTGAATCTGTATATATGTTAAATGAAAATTTAAGATCCATGATCAGAATAAATATGTGTCAGTTAGGATGAGTGAAACAATAGTATAATTACAATTCGATCAAATGTTTGGTGGAAGTCTACATTGTGCGAAAAATTGGTAAGACGTAATAATGAAGGATGAATGAGAAGTGAATGAACCATGTATAGGGGAGCTTAATGATTGTGTTTAACTAATAATAATAATAGTAATAATAATAATAATAATGTGAACTCGTGTGAACAGAGACAATTACATTTGACTACGAAAGGTTGTAAATACAATAGGTCATTCAATAGCAAATATTACTACTGATTAATTGGCCTTGAGGTTGGCTAAGGGAAGAGGAGGAGAAGCGGTTGAATATATTTCTTTTGTACGCATAGCTCCGGTTTCTTCATACAAATGGCTACTACTTCATCCGTTTGAAGGAATTCAAGTCTGACATGCTTCGGTAAAAAAGAAATGTTCTTTATGAGATGAACAATTAAGCCTTCTACTTTAGAATAACTTCGATTTTAATCATTGTACTTGTAATGAGCAAAATAACTGTAATAGAATTAAATAGTTTAAGTTTTTAATATACAAGGAATGAACAAAGTAAATCAATATTATTTTTTGTTCGATTTCATACATAATTAAACTAGTTAATAGTTTTTGTAACTATAGCTTTTTAATATAAATTAGTGTAAACCTAATTCTTTATTGTCGAACAAAAGTTGACCTATATCAAAGAAACTTGATAAATAAAAAGTTCTTTTTTTTATAGTTTTGACCATTTGTGAGTTACAAGTTCTTTAGATTATTTTTCTCTTTTCCTGTTATAAACAGATATCAAATTTCATGCTTAGTAAAATGTGTGAGGGAAAGAAATATTTTACTAATTGTCAATTCTGTATGATTTATGACTACAATAAGAACAGACTTTGAAAGGGTTTATTCAATATCATGCTTTCACTTTTTATATTGAGAAATGAAAATATTAGTTTTATAAGCAAAGATAGATGGTGGTTATCAATGGAATCCAGGATGTGCGTTCGGTCCCATTTCGGGCTCGTCGGCTGGATTTGCCTGCATCTCAGAGTTGATGTTCACTCTGGAACTCGAACTCAGTATCGTTCGCTTTAAACGCCATCGTGTTATCCACTTAGCTACTCAGTTCTGATGGCCATTTTTGTTTGAATCTTATCATTGATGTTTAGGACTGCAATCGATCCGTCCGGGAGTAAATATTGACTCTGGGATGCAGGTACATCCAGCTGACGGACCCAAAATATGACAAAACGCGCATTCTGGATTCCATTGCTAGCCACTATTAATCTTTGCTTATAATGCTTGTGACTCAAGGCAATATCAAGTCGACCCGCACAGGATACACATATGTCAATAAGAGACTGATCAATCGTAATCCTAAACATCTATCGGACAATTCAAACAAGCAGCAGAAAATGAAATATTAGTTTGTTTGTTCTCTTTACTTATTACTTTAATTTCTTTGATTTGCTCTGCTTCTTCACAGTTGTTTTCTATTTAATACAGTAAAGTAAATTTGAAAGTTGCTTGAATTTCCTCAGTTTACTGATTGACCTGCTTAACAAAAGGAAGCGATTAGATTTAGAAGACTGTTTAACGATTACCATCTCCATTTTTCTAGTGTGTTGACTTCTGAATAACCTAACTAACCTTTCTGCATTCCAGTATCAAATTGAATCAGCAATATTTATCTAGTTTATGACACTACTGTTTAATATTTTAAACCCTATGACATTTTTGTATTCTAATCTTATCCTAGGAATAACTCATTTCTCATTTTTATTCATGCACGGACATTTGCTAGAGTATTTAATAAATTGATGTTACTAATAAATATTTGACACTACATTTTCCAGGATGGAGTACCTTACCCTAACCTAAATCAATCGTTTTAAATACAATTTTATATATCTGCTGTCGTTTTTTTCTAAACTTACTTTTAACTCATTTTGCTTTATATACAGATAAAACCGGATGGAAGAATAATTCTCAGTAGGCGATTGGATCGTGATCAAATTTGCCCTAAACAACATCATATAGATTCATCTCTCATAAATATTGATTCAGCACAACTTTCAAGTATATATACTGGTACTCATCGACAAAATATCTTACAAACAGAAAAAATATCTTGTTCCATAATTATACAAATAGGTTTGTTTATTCATCAGAAAAATTCTATAATAAATAAGATAGACATCGAGGCAAATAATAAAAAGCAAATTCGACTATTTCATATACGTATTAACATTCAAGATATTAATGACAATGCTCCATATTGGCAAGGACATTTACAAAGATTTCGTATAACATTCCTGGATGGTGATCCAGTCGGATCACGTCGTAATATACCACCAGCAATAGATAATGATGCAGGAATAAATGGACTTATTACTTATGAACTTAGTCCTGTTAATTCGTTTGATAAATCTCATATACCGTTTAGTTTAATTGAGGATTCAATTGATGGACTTCATTTATATGTAACTAAACAGATAGATCGAGAAGAACAGTCAGAATACAAATTAATATTAAAAGCAACAGATGGATCATTATCATCGTCTACCTTATCAGCATTATCTAATGAATCAACATTTAAACGATTCACTTCAACTTTGTATGTAGATATTTTTATAGAAGATGTTAATGATAATACACCACAGTTTACGCAACCAATATTTACAACATCCATGCCAATAGCTGAAACAACCCCAGTAGGGTCAACAGTTCTTTTATTAAACGCTACCGATTTAGATTCAGGTATAAATGGCATCTTTCATTTTAGTTTTAGTAAAGATCACTACTGGCAACCAGCCGAGAAAATTGCTAGACATTATTTCGATATACGTCCAAATGGTCAAATTATAGTTAAGCAACCATTAAATGTAGACAAGCTTGATCAAATTAACGGTCATATTAATCATAATAACAACAAAATAGTTTTGCCTAATGTAAGAGGTGCTTATCAGTTGAAAGATATTGATGAGAATATTAATAAAGGTGCAAATGTTCAATTTCGCTTTCGAGCCGTTGTTGAAGACGAAGCAACAAGACCATATACACGCTCAAGTGAAGCAACTGTTATTATACTTGTTACAGATGAGAATGATGAGCCACCCATAATTTCATTGCTTCCAAATCCAGAACTAATCAGTTCGAATGCACTAGATACTGTTACAACATCGAATTCGTTTAGCTACTTTTGGGTTTTCGAAAATCAGCCTGTTGGTACTATTGTAGCCACTGTACAAGTAAGTAAATATCTATATAACTGCAGTCATTTTAAGCACTATGGTTTACTTTCCTTCGGCTCACTGAGAAAATAGTGATACCTGTATTAAGACAAATAATTGTTCATATTAATCAGACATCTACTAAACTAGGTTAAACGTATTTGATGACGTTCCTATCAAGAATTAGTACTGAAAATCAATTTCCATATTATTGATTGAAATAGTAGTGAAATAAATGTATTATGAATAAATCACAGACACATTCTTCCAGTGTTATAATAATGCTAGAATAAAAGACTGAGATAGGTTAACTGCTTCATTGACCTACTAAGATAATCAGAAACATGGGAAAAAACGAATTGAAACAATAATGAGTAAAATATAGAGAACAGGACTGTTAGACAGAAAATGTATTGAGAACATTTCCTAGTTTATACTTGATTAATTGAATAAAGGTGAGCCTATAGATAACCCGAAAAATCTCCACATCAGAACAGATTATTGTATCTCTCCATATTATACATGGATCTATCCAGTATAAGAATAATAATAGTCAAGTAAAAGATCGTTAGTTGAAAGAAATCCATAAAAATATGATCTTCAGTCTTCGATCATTGGCCGATAAGATATGAACAAAAATACACCACTTACGAAAGCTATCTTGATGATAATTAATTTTGATTTAGTTTTTATCTATACTCCCCAGTTTATTTGTTTATTCCGTTATACTGTTGTTGTGTATATGATTTAATAATTACAAATAACTCAAGTCTCCTATTAGTAGGCTTCAGATTTCAATCTAGTCAAAGACTGCCTAGCTCTTAATATGCTCACTACCAACTGTTGCTGATGTTTTTAATGGATCTTCAATGGTCTACAGTTTTTTAAACATCTTCCCTCATGAACTGTTACATATGTTCACATTTACAGTTCTAATAACATTAATTTTCATTTCATTCTATTGACAATTTATTTTGAATGAAACACTATATAAGTCGTGTTTACCAAGTAAGATCAAACACGTAAATGAATTCAAGCTTTAAACTTTAATTATGTGATATCAATACCATAACATCAGTTTAATAATTTGTCATTTTTCTATCAAGTCCTTCATTTGAACAAGTCTTCCAAAAAAAGAGTAATAGTTGTTTGATTCAAAAATTGCTTACTTTCGCCTGTTACTCCTAATGGAGCATAGGCCGCCGACCAGCATCCTCCAACCCATTCTGTCCTGGGCCTTCCTTTCTAGTTCTATCCAACTGTTGTTCATTCTTCTCATATCTCTTTCTGTTTCTCGGCGTAATGTGTTCTTTGGTCTTCCTGATTTCTTCTTCCACTAGGATCTGGTTTGTTCTCTTTCACAGTAGGTTGTTACTGATATTGTCTGGTCGACAGATCCGAAGTGTTTTGCATAGACAGCTGTTAATAAACACTTGTATCTTCTGGATGATGGCTTTAGTGGTTCGCCAAGTTTCTGCCTCGTACAATAGAACTGTCTTGATATTTTTATTGAGACTTGTTACTTTGATGTTGTTTGACAGACAGTTGTTTTGAGTTCCAGATGTTCCTCAGTTGTAAATATGCTGTTCTTGCTTTGCCGATCCGCGCATTCACATCTGCATCAGATCCACCACCGTGTTCATCAATGATGCTGCCCAAATACGTAAAGGTTTTTACATCTTCCAAATCTTCTCAGTCAAGTGTGACTGGATTGGTGCATGCTGTGTTGTATCGGAGAATCCTGCTTTTCCCTTTGTGTATATTGAGACCTACTGCTGTTGAGGCTGCTGCTACACTGGTCGTCTTCTCCTGCATTTGTTGTTACGTGTGCGATAGAAGAACCAGATTATCTGCGAATTCTAGATCTTCCAGCTGCATCCTATCTGTCTAGTGTATCCCGTGCTTCCCTTCAGATGTTGACGTCTTCATGATCCAGTCAGTCACCAGGCGAAAGAGAAAGAGTGATAGTAAGCAACCTTGCCTGACACTGATCTTTACTTCGAACGAGTTTGTCAACTGTCCTCCATGCACAATTTTTCAGTTTAAAAATTACTTAATTTAATTAGCAATTATGTAATACATTGTAAATGAAGCATTGTCATGTGTAACATTCATTTTCACTAATTCTATACATTTCATGTTTAAATTTAATATTATTGTTCAAGAGCATAATCTTTATACATGAATGTACTTTCTCATTAACATTCACATTCTGGCTGCCTAATATTAAATCTTTGTTTAAAATTAAGTTTTCTATATTTTACATTTACTATTTGGTAGGCATACGATCCAGATTTTGGTGGACAGGATCAAGTTGAATGCAACTTGAAAGATTCAAATTTTTCACTTATACGACTCACTTCACAAGCTCAACCTGAATTTGAAAGAAACACTGAAGTGAACTTATTAACAGAGTATCATTTAATTACAGCTAGAATTTTAGATCGTGAAAGTACTTCTCATCAAGTGGTTACTATTGTTTGCTCTGACATGGTTGGACATTACACAGAACGAAATATAACCATTCGTATCTTAGATCAAAATGATAATCGACCAAAATTTTCACATGAAATACTATATTTACAAGTTGATGAAAACGCTCCATACGGTACTCAAGTGAGACAGCAATCCCAAAAAGTTAACAAAGGTTATTTTAATAATGTTCATCAGACTGGATCATCACAAGGACTTTTAGCAACTGACTTAGATATTGGAATTAATTCTCAAATGACATTTTTTCTTCTTGAAGATGGAGTTAACTCAACTAAATTCAAAATTGACTCACATACAGGTATCATAACTACAATGGACATGTTCGATAGAGAAGTCAAAGAAAAATATACATTAACTGCATTAGCAGTTGATCATGGAAATCCTCCACTCTCAGGCACGGCTACAGTGCAAGTATGTTTGTACTTACATTATTATTCACAATGATTATTTATAACTAGTTAATTGACAGAACCTCACATTTATTTAAAATGAAAAAAATGAAAAAAAATTGTCAAAATTTACACATTTGCACATTGTTTCCCTTCATACATTTAAAGGTATCCAATTATGGACGCCAGATATTGTGAATGTTTACTTAAATTTACATATGAATTTTTAAGAAATAATAATATTAGAACAAAGTTAAAATGTTTAATATTAAGTGAGAAGTTTATGTGTGCATAGTTTATAGGTGTAAGAGGACAAAATGATTTATATAACAAATTATTTCACTTTCGTTAATAGATTTGAAAAACAGGATTGGAAACCATTGATTTTCAAAAGCTGTATATATATATATATATATATATATATATATATATATATATATATATATATTCAGCTAATATCTGAATGGCATAATTAACTTACTTACGCCTGTTACTCCTCGTGGAGGAGCATATGGCGCTCATCAGCACTCGCCATCCAACTCTGTCCTGATCAAACCTTTCCAGCTCTTTCCAACTGTGATTCATCCTTTTCATATCTGATTCTATTTCCCGATGTAATGTGTTCTTCGGCCCTCCTCTCTTCCGTTTCTCTTCAGGATTCCAAGTCGGGGCTTGCCTCGTGATGCAGTTTGGTGATCTGCGTAATGTATGTACAATCCATCTCCATCTTCTTTTCCTAATTTCCTCTTCAGTCGGAAGCTGGTTTGTCCTCTCCTACAGGAGGCTGTTACTGGTGGTATCCGGCCAATGAATGTTGAGTATCTTGCGAAGACAGCTATTTATAAATACTTATACCTTCTTGATGATGGTTGTGGTAACTCTCTAAGTTTCAGCTCCGTACATAAGAACTGTCTTGACGTCCGTATTGAAGATTCTAACTTTGATAATGGTTGAAAGTTGTACAAAGTAATACTTTGCGTGTTGTGCTAAAGCTATTGAATGTGTATATACCATTATGGCAAACATTATTGCATTTATAGCATTGTGTTAATTAGTAGTTGACAAATGAAAAACAAATAGTGTAATTGAAGGTTAGACAAAACCAGTTTCACATCCAAATCACCTGACTAAATTCATTTATTTCAGCCCAAATATTTGAAGATAAATATTTACTTTAAGCAGCTTATTTTATAAAAGGTAGCTATTTTCTCTAAATTCAATTACGTTTTAATGAATATTTTATCATTGTTCAACTACAAAGAACCATAAACATTGCGTTAGTTAACAACTGACAACTGAATCCTAGAATTCGCCTTACAAATCCGGTGACAGACAGATATTAGTTAGTGGGAATATTTTGTAACGTTGTTCATTAAAAAGATAGCTCGATCATACTTAACTTTCCTTCATTATAAACTTATTCTTTTCCAGATTCATATCGCATGAAATCTTACTCTCCTCAGTTTATTACATTACATGTTTTATTCATATTATTACTATAATTATCTGATTCCTGAATACCGTCAATGTATTTAGAAATAATCATATTGTAATGTTCTCCTATGTAGTTATGTCTTTGATCTTTGGTTTTCTATTCATTTAGCATTTCGTGCTTATTTCATGATTTGGTTAGTTTAATTTACTTGTCACACTTTAAATGATCTCCAAGGTTATTGCTGATTGTGAAAATGTGTACTAACAAACGAACAAACTTGACATCACACATATTATTTGATACGGAAAATGAGATCATTACAGGCGATGGTAAATATGTAAGATTTTTAGTGTACGAAGTTAATGCTGCACTGATGACTAATAATATTTTTAACAATAAAGTTTCCTTGTTGTATTTTAGATAATCATCAATGATCTTAATGATAATGAACCAGTTTTCTCGACCAATAATTATACTTTTCATTTACAAGAAAATCAAGCACGTAGTACAATAGTAGGTCAAGTTAATGCGACAGATATTGATTCATCTGCATATGGTCCATTGGAATATAGCTTTGCTAATGATCCAGATTCAGTTAATTTTACAATTGATAAAATTACTGGTATTATTAGAAATCGTCAACCACTGGATCGTGAAGAAAAATCTCAATATATATTTCGTGTTTTAGTTAAGGACACGAAAATTAAATCGTCAGAATTTAGTAGTATAAATAAGCTCAACTCAAGGAGTATACAGTATACTGGTACATCAACAGTTACGGTGATTGTTGATGATGTCAACGATAATTGGCCAGTATTTATTAGCCCCAATTCTACAGCAAACACTCTGGCCATCGCTTTAGATCAAAAGACAACCGGTTACAAACTAGCTTATATTCAAGCTGAAGATAAAGATGAAGGGAATAATGGTTTAATCACTTATAATATTTTAACTGGAAATAATTATGGATTGTTTGGACTAGATTCGACAAGCGGATTGCTCTATTTATCAAATCCTTTCAGTGATAACAATAAACTTAACGATCATAGCAATGAATTATATGATTCATCAAATACCTCTAATTTACCAACAAAGGATGAATTTGATAGTCTTCTGCACAAATCCAGTATGCATATACTTACATTAGAGGCATGTGACCAAGGTAAAGATCCAAAACCACGATGTACATTATATAACAATTTAAAAATCATGATACAAAATAATAAAGAAAAAGATATACACAATTTAGAAAGTAAACAGTTTCAATATCATTCACCGAATCAATTCATAAATGCTCCAGGATTAACATCAGCCGAAACAATAGTATCTTCAGCATTCAAACAAAATCACCCTAATCATATTCAAAACAATTTTAATCCTATTCAAGAATTCAGCAACGATAATCTCTATCAAAAAGGAACAGGTATGACTTATGGAAATCTTTTATTGAGTAAACAAAATCACAAACTTAATAGTTATACAACCAATGACATAATGATTACTTGTCTATCTATTATATTTGCCTTGGTTCTCATTGCGACCCTTATACTTGTTTGTTTGGTTCGCAGAAGAATAGTGTCGTTTAAAACTCAAACCAAGAAACCAGGTAAGTGACATATAATGTTAAAGATTTTGTCTAATTTTGTAATTTTAAATCAGTGCATTATTTTAGGTGTTATGTTCCGAGGGATTTGCCGGAGTTATAATTTATATAAAGGTTTATTTAACTGCAATAGTTTAAATAACTTGAACTCATAATGGACCTGGTTGTTTAGTATTGTTTGTTCTGGTCTAATTCGTTACTATTAGTGTATCTACTTTGGATAAAATTTCGGGTTTTCAATGAATTTTGTTTGACTACCATAGTTCTCCACTTTGTTAAAGAAGCAAAATTTTGGGTACAAAAGACCGATTCAGCGATATCTGTAGGCGGTTCCATTCATAATATCCAGCGCTGAATTTAAAGTCATAACTTTATCAGTAAGATATTTTGTGTGCCTTCTGAGGACATTTCACAATAACCTTAACTGTAGCCTGAGTTAAATTTGCATCATACAAATTTCTATTATTATTTGTGAAATATTCCTTGACATGACAATGCTTACTGTGATACAAAACCCCGGATATGAAATTTTATCAAACCAAAAACATTAGTAGAGTACCTACTGTAAATGTGTTACCTACGTATACTTCACAGTTGACACATAGTCTAATTAAGGTTAAATATCTTGGAACACGTGTTGGACTCAGCGATGAAGCACATTCTATAAATTGTTAACATTATTCATGGAGTGTAGTGAACGAGAACTCAGGTGGGGAAAACCAATTTATTGTTTAGCACAAAGTTACAGAGCTCTTTCGTAAAATTTGAAGACCATGCCTTAAATACTTCATTTATAAATCCTCCATCAATTGTTTCAATCTTCATCGTCCCTTCACTACTATTGCAATTACTCTCGGTTCGCTTTCTCGTCAATTTGATCTTTCCAACCTTCTGTTGCCATGCGTTCCGCTCCTGTCTGGTGTTACATACCTCTGCTTATGTCAACAGACATAAGTAGCATACACCACAGTAGTAATGAACTCAAATAAAAGATACTGAACCCCCCTAAGTCAAACATGTAAATATGTGTAAAAATAAGTTTTAAATTTGGTTTAATAGACTATATTACAAGATCCATCGATGGTTAATAGTCATAAAGGTGATTTGTCACAACGAACCTCGAGAATCTTCAAGCTGAAAATTTAGAAAGCTGAAGAGATGCTTATTCATTCCCTTTTTTACGGACTATTTGAAATATATGACTCAAGCATTTTGATATCTTACAACCTACACATATTTTTCATACATCTAAATTAAATGTATGCAAAATATCTTATGTAGTTTTACAATTAAATTTGGTAAATAATACGTTCTGACTCCATTTGAAAAATGATATTTCCATAAAGAAATTTCAGTTGAATTGTATCAAGATATGAAAATACTCTTAAATACTTAAGTCTCCGTTGAATGCCGGCTCAGTGGTCTAACGGTTAAGTGCTCGCGTGCGAGACTGATAGATCCTGGGTTTGAATCCCGCGGGGGCCGGGATCGTGGATGCGCACTGCTGAGGAGTCCTATACTAGGACGAAACGGCCGTCCAGTGCTTCCAGGTTTTCCATAGTGGTCTAGCTTCAATTGACTCATGATTTCAGCTATATAAATTATTTAAGTCTCAGTTTATTTATCGAATTCCCTAAATTAATTTAACTTGAATAAATCAGGAGATATTCCTTTGAAGAAAAAAATAACTTATAATAAAGTTGATTCTCCAAAATTTCATGTTTCAATATTACTAGCTAATTAGTTAAGTGAAGATGAAATTATTCAGTTATAAATCATAATTACTTTGATATACTCCCTACACTTACATAACTACAAATTATTTCCTTTCATTTAATACAGTTAAATATCTTATCTCTTAAGATAACAACAACCATATGAATATAAGTGAAAATCTTATCTAATATATTTTAACTATATTGCTTTTAGATAATTTCTTATACACAATGATTTTGTAAGAACGAAACTCTTTTAAAGGTTACTGTATGAGAAAATAATCTATTAGAAATAAAAATAAACAAATCGAACTAAAATTAAATATACAAACGAATACTACTTTGTATGAATAGATATTCTTAATAAGATAGTGATATCAGAATTATTAATTCAGTGATTTCAATGAACAGTGGTAGGTTTCAGAACATTATACGTAGCTAGTGCACGAGTGAATTATAATGTTATCACAGTTTAATAGCCCTGTAGTTTAGGTTATGGCTTTTAAAATGCTGATTGCCTTGTAGTGGCTTGACTACGAAATGATTTCTTAGACTTCGTTTATAAATTACCCTGATGACCGTTATTAAATAAATCTTAAAAGTGTATAAATTCAGAAGGTTTTTACAGAGCGTCAACCACAGTTTAGTATTGGATAGCGCTGATAACAAAGTTACAAGCACACCAAGAGAATTTGAAGAAAAAGACTAATGCTCACGGGCAAGCGAATACAGAGGCGGATTCAAAGTCAAATTGAATCGAAGTGAAGCAATTATTAAGATTCAAGCATACATATGTATATATTTGAGCTACTAACATTTAAGCTAGAGAGAGATATATGTGCAGTCTGTTACATGTTATCAAGCATACATGATCATACAGTCATGAATTGTACAAAGAAATAGACTAATTGTTACTGTTCGAAAAAAACTATCTGTTAAATAAGCCAATCGAAGGGCTTGACAAAATTAACCGAAAACAAAATTATAGGAATGGTGCTATAGTCTAACCTTACTTTTAAGCGAAGTTATCAAATAATGTTTAGATGGGGATTTATCAAGATTTTATAGGACAAATATTACATGATATAAATAATAATAGTTATGTTTAATACAATAAAGAGAGCCTAGCCTACTGTTCAAACCCCATGTGATGATATATGGAATACACTAGGTAAATAAGACAGAACAACTGAAAGTACTATATAACTATAAGTTCAAAATGTGAAACCCTGTTACATACTTTTTGTAAAAACTATTAAAACTCACTAATTCTTCAGCCTTGTACTTATTGTTCAATTGTTACTTGAATAATGTTTTTCTGATTAGCCTTTTTTTAGCAAGTTAGTTTTCTAGAGGATGGAGTCGCCAACCTCATGTCTAACCCTCCTCTATTATCCGGACTTGGAACCGGCAGTAGCATTAGAAGGGTTTCATGCGGTGTTATTATTCAAATGTAGGTTACCAATGAATTAACTAAACATCTGTATAGAAAATCTTATAGAATTTTCAACATATAAAGCTAGCTAAATATCAATTCAAGTCATTTTGTAGTACAATGGAATTACATGTTTTTTTAAAAAATTTGTAGTAAATAATTCACTCCAGGAAGTAAAAGAAACTGTTGTATAACCTGAATCTATTCAATAACCCTTTTTCAGTGCTTTTTTTGATTTATACATTACTTGTAAACTAATTTTCTATACCCATAGATCTTACAGTTTGTGACATCATTAATGTAACCAAATTGAATAAAATACCAGTTTTTAATTTTTTGTTGTTGTTGTTTTCATTGAACAGTTGTTCAACTAAAATTTAAATAAAACATCTAATATCACACATTATTTGAATGAGTATAACTAAACAACATTTTTGTTTAAAATAGTATATGTATATTTTTTCTCCTTTATCGAGTAACCAATTCAATTTATACATTTATATAAAGATTTAGAATCTTCTAAATTTCTTCTATAAATCTTCCATCTTTATTTGTACTAAAAACAAAACAACAAATAGAAATACCTACACCAAGATGATTTACCCCAATAGCAACCTTTTTTTCCCTTCTAGCCAGATACTTAAAAAATATAAAAAAAAATAAGAACACAATCTCTTTATCCAACTAAAATATCATTCTATTAAGAATTTTTACCTAAAGGCATTAAATCTGAGTAATGTAGTAATACAATACCGACATTAAATGAAACATTTATCAATATACATAACATATATTACAAATAATAATGATAATAACGCTCAATTTATATTTCCCCAGAGAACATAAAACATAGAACGATATATAAAATCCATCTAAACATTAATGGACCTAATAGTATTAAGTGTCTGTAATGATAATAATAATAATTATTATTATTATTATTAAATAAGAGTATAATACACATACATAATGATAATTAGTTTGTTATCATTATCATTATAGTAATTGTATAAAACATTTACATACTTAGAGGTAAGAATAAAATTCTTATAGAAACACTTGAGAAAATACAAATGATAAGAATAATAGTTATACCATAATAAAAATGTATATTTATTAAGGATTTTAATGACGATCTATATATGGTGGTGTGTGTTCAAATGAAGTATTTACTATATTGTTCTCAGATTCTACTAAAACGTTTTGTAATTTTGTCTTCAATACTTTCGATTGTCCCCACTTGTGTTCTCGTTCACTACAATATATATATATATATATATATATATATATATATATATATATATATATATATATATAAATTATAAGTAGACAGTAGCTAGTTCAAATTAATGTTATATATGGATTTAACTTTAAATAAAGTACAAGAAAATAATTTGTTAGTTATTCTTTTTATCAGAAGGGGTTTGTGGAGATTTTTTAGAAATTTTCACAGATTGAAATCATGAGTCAGTTGAAGCTAGACCACCATTGAAAACCTGGGAGCACAAACCCACAAACCCATTCTGATAATAATCATCTACTCACTAGTGACTGACTTCAAGAGATACTCCTGGAGTTCTAGTGAGAAGCCGTTACCAGTGGAGTACAACCAGGTCTGTTGTGCGATATCAGCTCACTGAAGACAATGGTATATGGTGGCGCAACTTCGTAGATTGGTTGAAGTTAGACATTAACATCGTTGAATGCCCGCTCAGTGGTCTAATTGTTAAGTGCTCGCGCGCGAAGCCAGTAGGTCCTGGGTTCGAGCCCTGCGTGGTGCGGGATCGTGGATGCGCACTGCTGAGGAGTTCCATACTAGGACGAAATGGCCGTCCAGTGCTTCCAGGTTTTCA